TGATTGCGCTCTTTAAATATTTGAAAGGATGTCATTTGGAGGAGGGCAAGGAGCCATTCCAGTTGGCAGCAGAGGATAGGACCCGAAGCAACGGGTTTAAATTACATGCAGAAAGGTATCGGCTGGATATTAGGAAAAACCTTTTCACTGTCAGTGGTTCAAAGATGGAATCAGAGGCCAAGGGAGGTGGTAAGCTCCCCTTCACTGGCAGCTTTCAAGAAGAGGCTGGACGGATGCTTTAGGCTGGTCCTGCATTGGGCAGGGGGTTGGACCAGATGGTCTGTATGGCCCCTTCCAACTCTGGAATTCTATGATTCTTTGGGCTGATGATGATATGTAAACGGCTGTAGTGCTAGAACCCTGTTTTTTGACTTCTTTTGTCTTCCTTTCCTGTGCCAATTTTTGTATCCTGCTATTTCTCATCACGCTCACCTTCTCGACAGCTGAGGCACTGGGTAAGTCTGAGCTGCCCTGTATCCCCGGTGGCTGGTGTGTGTAATCCTTGCTGTGGCCTCCTGACGGTTGCCTGCTCTCCGCTAGCTGCCTAGACTTTAATTTTGAATTCAACAAAACAGAATGAAAAAACACTTTGGCCTTGAAATCCAAGGATGGATGTGAGGATTCCTGTCCTCCTCATTCAGATACAACACGAAAGCAGTGGTGTTCCACCGGCGCTGGAAGAAGAGTGATAGGTCCCTTTAGCACAGTGGCATAACATGTTTAAGCTCCAAATCTACTAGCAAAGGGCCCTGCTTTAGGCTGTTCAGACATCCAAGTGAGTCCCATCTCAGCCGTTGCATCTTCAGGGAAACATATCTACACATTGTAGAAGAAGAGAAGAGATTAGATTTATACCCCGCCCTTCACTAGATGAAGGAGTCTCAGAGCGGCTTACAATCACCTTCCCTTCCCCTCCCCTCAACAGACAGCCTGTGAGGTCGGTGGGGCTGAGAGAGCTCTTTCGAGGACTGCTCTTGAGAGAACAGCTCTGAAAGAACTTGTGATCGACACAAGGTCACACCAGCAGCTGCATGTGGAGGCGTGGGGAATCAAACCCGGTTCTCCCAGATCAGAGTCTGCGCTCCTAACCACTACACCAAACTGGCTCTCTTCTATTAGGCTGCTCTGACCTGGATGGCCCAGGTTAGCCCGATCTAATCAGATCTTGGAAGCTGAGCATGGTCAGCCCTGCTGAGTACTTGGATAGGAGACCATCAAGGAAGCCCAGGGGTGCTGCACAGAGACCGGCAATGGCAAACCACCCCTGTTTGTCTCTTGTCTTGAAAACCCTGTAGCTGGAGTCCCCACTATTTTTGAGCCAGGGAGCCACTTTGGAATTCTGACACAACACGGTGGGCGCCGTCACAGAGTGGCTGCTGCAGGAGGCCGAGTCAGCCACAAAACAGCTGCTGCAGCTTCCCTTCAGCTGCACAGGGAAGATTCTGCGGCCAAAGCAATGTTTTAGAAAGGTCTGCATAGCCCAATCAGATCTCCAGTGGTCAGTTAGAAGCCTTGCTGGCTCCTGCCCCACCTAGCCTCCCCCTTTCTAAAAACACTTGGTGGGCGCCGGGAAAGGTGTCGGCAGGCATCTTCATGGTGCCCACGGGCACCTTGTTGGTGACCCCCTGCCAATGTTCCCTCTAAGCTGTGGAGTTGTGTGAGCAAAAATTCTACTTTGTGGGCTACTGGAATTAAAGTTGTGAGCAAGCGACTTGGCTACTGCATAAATTAGTTGGCTCTGGAGCCATCCTTCCTGAGCGGAGACAAAAAAGGGGGAGCCAGAGGCTAAAAAACTGTGAGCTAGCTCACACTAACTCAGCTTAGAGGGAACACTGCCCCCTGCCCTATGGGATCGCCATAAGTCAGCTGTGATTTGACAGCACTTTCCTTCCTTTATTAGGCCAGAAAGGAACTGGAATATACTGCAGTCCAGTTTTCATAAGAAAAGGGTTTTTTTTTGAAGAATCCCTTTTCATTCACATGCCAAAAGTCTGAGCCAAATATCGTAATGGTCTCCCACTGTGACTGTGCCATGGCAGCCTTCCACACTCTAAAAAAGCCGCTTGTACAATTGTTCGACAGAATGGGTGCCAAAGCATTTGAAAACGAATATCTTTTAAAGTCTAGCGCTTAAAACCTTTTTAATGTTTGTAAACCTTTGACCCTGAAAATTCCCTCCCCCCCCCTTAAAGAAATTGCATGCATGGGTATGACTTGACTAACGACACAATTATGAGCTCTGTCGATCTCAAGCTGGTGAAAATATTCATTCGTGCGTTTACTCGTTTAGTGGTGGTGTCCTGGATTAAAGACGGTCAATTTAAGTGAGGCTATTGGGAGTAGGAGAGTGATAATTTATCCTGTTTAGAAAGTCAAAATCAAATGTCTTAGGTTGTGATTTGCAGAATGAGTTGGATCCTGTGGATTTGTTGCAGTAGCAGTGACCCTTTCCTCCTGTGTAAAGAGCCCTCACCTTTGATCCCCTTGTGCCAGAGGAAGACACAGAACAGATCCGAGGGATCCAATCCACAGGTTGTAGCAAGGAAATCAACGTTAAAATACTTGCGTTGGTGAAGAACTGGAGTGGAAAGGCATTAGTGCTCTCTGGATATCCTGTAGGTTTAATCATTAGCTGCCTCTCTATATTTTTTTTCTTGTTGTGGTTCAGAGTTGGCTCTAGTAACTATGCCTTTAAGACGGGGAAGATGGATAGAAGACCATTTTTTCTTGTATGTAGAAAGAAGCACAGAGTCTCTGCTCTGCCTCATCTGGCTGTTTCATTTGGAACAGAAGCAGTACATGCAAGATGGAGCCCTTATGGGACTGCGCAAGGAGATGATCAATGTCTGCCGTTGCTCCTCTAGGATTTTCTGCTTGGAATAGGCAGAGCTGTCCGAGAGCAGTTCTGTTTCTGCCCACCAGGGTCCCTGGTTGTGCATCACCAGCACCCTGAGGCCGCTACTATCAAAGACCACAAAAAAAGATTTTGTAAGATCTGTCGGGCCTTTTATGTGAAGTTCCGTTTCTTTATGAGGCCTCAGGCACATTTTAATGACTGTATCGGAAGCTAAGACCTGTAAGGGGGGTCCGAAAAAGTCTAGCGTTTATAGTTCTAAACTTCCTAACCTCTCAGTTTTCCTTTCATTTCTTGTGCATTCCTCTCTGCCCTTGAATGCCCAGATAAATCACTTGAAGGAATGAACACCAGAAATTGAAAAGACTTAAAACAGATTGCAGTTGTCCCCCTTGTTTCCATCACAGCTTTGTCTTAACTGTGAATTTCTGTATAGATACGCTGTGTTTGAATCCATGGTTGAGTGACCCGTGGAAGTGTATTGAGAAAGATTATTCTTGGGCTTCTCCCAAGTGGATGTTTTCTCTGTGCAATATTTACAAGCTGTCCAGTATGTGTATGAGCTGTTAGGGTATATAGAAGTGTCTCACACAGCTGGTGAATAGCTGAAACAAAAGCCTGCAGATCTGCAGGGAAAAAATTGCGGTGACCCCCCCCCCTTTTCCTCAAATACCCGTCGCTTCAGAAGCGAAAACAATAGAGAAAAGTCCAGTATATGTATGCTGTGCCCTGACCTAGATAGCTCAGGCTAGCCCAATCTCGTCAGATCTCAGAAGGGTAAGCAGGGTCGGCCGTAGTTAGTACTTGGATGGGAGACCCACCAAGGAAGTCCAAGTTTGCTATGCAGAGGCAGAAAAAAACAAATGCCCCCCCCCCCCCCCCAAGTTAAACATAAGAACATAAGAGATGCCAATGTTGGATCAGGCCAAAGGCCCATCCAGTCCAACACTCTGTAGGCCAGAAATACTAGTGCCACCAGGAGGTCCAGCAGTGGGGCCAGGACATTAGAAGCCCTCCCACTGTTGACCCCCCCAATCACCAAGATGACAGAACATCACTTGCCCCAGAGTCCCTATCTATACCTTGTGGCTAATAGCCACTGATGGACCTCTGCTGTGAGAGATCTGGAGTCCCAACAGAAGGAAGTTCTGGTCTGTTGTCATGTGACTGCGGTAAGGTGCATGCTGTGCTGTGTATGTACCAATTCAAAAGGGCCTTCCTGGGAAACCCCGTGGCATTGTACCTTGCTGTGAGGTCTCAGCCCCTCCTTAAACCCCGCCTTCCCCAGGCTCCTCCTACAGAATCTCCGGGTATTTCCCAACTCAGAGCTTGGCCGCCCTGCATTAACAGCCATCCCACCATGAGTCTAGTAGAATAACACCAATGTCCTGAGCTCTGGAGGCTTCCTGGCACTTGTTCTAAGTAGCAGAGGCCGAACTAGACTGTCGGTTTCTGCATCAGTGAGCTCCCAGTTGCACTCGTATGTCTCGTCTCAGCACTTAGCAGCAGCAGGTTTAAGGATTTAATTAAAACGAATTGGCTTCAAGGATAGGTTTCTGCCATGCACAGTTGCACTTGAGTAGCCAAGTGATTTCTGGCAGTTCTTGAAATCTGAGCTCCTGGCTTCATCCTTTGGTGTGAGTGGCTATAAGTAACGTTCGGTGGGTAGGAGATGAAATGACTTCGTGTGGAATAAGCCTGGCATAAGCAGTGCCCCGAATGGGACACGTTCTGGCCTGGGGGGCGGAACAGGATGCTTGTCTGGGGCAGCTCCATAATTGTTGCTCAGGATGGGGGAGTGGAGATGTTGTCAGTGGGGGTTGTGGGCTGGCGTACGAATTAGGACTATCTTAAACAGCTCCCTGTGCTGTCATAAAGGCTTCTTTCTGGGTTACGACCCACACAGGGCTTAGTAAGTTCAGAAACAACCCTTACCACATGTGTTGGGAGGGGCCTTGTGCTGAGAGGACCAAGATGGTGGCACTGGCTGTTCTCAGGTGGTTGGGGTCCGGGCCACTGCTACTGACCACACTGTCAATGGGTTCCTTATTTAGTTATCTGGTTGATCAATGATTAAAGGGGTTTTTTTTGCCCTGAGAACAGGCCTCCAAAGTAGTTTATGGCAAGGAAGCAGTGAGAGGCAAATCGGTAGATTCCCCCCCCCCCCAAAAAAAAAGGCAGTGCTGGTTTTAGGCATGGGGTTGTAGCAGTGGTAGTGATGGGAAATGTCGTCTCCCAAGTCCCCTTGATTTCAGAGTTTTCCACAATGGCCACAGGGTTGGTTTGCCATTGAAATGACACAAGCGGTCACGTGGAGTACCGCCTTTCGTTAGGGGGGGTGAGCGCAGGAAAAGGTGACTGGCGTTGTTTCTTTCCACTTTGCCACAAGGCAGGCTTTTGGGGTCCTGACTACCCCACCAGTGCCCTCTGCTTGTGGAAGCAAAATACCTGGAGATGCACCTGGATGACCATGATGGATCTATCCAGTACCTGCCTCTGCCGTGTCCCCCCCCCCCCAGAAATGCTCCCTCTAAGCTGTGGAGTCTTGTGAGCAAAAATTCTACTTTCTGAGCTACTGGAACTAAAGTTGTGAGCTAGCAATTTGGTTACTGCATACATTATTGTGCTCTGGAGTCGTCCTTCCTGAGCTAAGGCAAAAATGTGTGAGCCGGAGGCTAAAAAAAACCTGTGAGTTAGCTCACACTAACTCAGCTTAGAGGGGAACCCTGCCCCCAAGTGTGCTACCCAACAACCAGGGCTTTGTGGCACCAAATGGTTTCATTCCCGAGGAGGCAGGCTTTTCTTTAACCAAGCCAGTGGAGAGGGTATGATTCTTGTCTCTTCCTGGCAGCAGTGGTGACCGCGAAAGATTTTGAAAGGAAGATGATGTAAACTGTAAACAAGATGCTACTGTTGTTGCAGCTGTGGTGGTGGTGGTCAGATGGAACAGGTTTAGTTTGGACAGACTCTCTGTGTTGTGTGGAATTCTGGCAAGAGGGAGGGAATTAAAAAATAGGAGCTGCCGGCTCTTCCGTTGGGGTAAAAATAAGCCCAGTCTGTCTGTCCTGTGATCTTTGGACATGTGAAGACGTTAAGTGTGTTGGACCATTGGCCATGTGTATTACCTTGACCTCCTGAAGCATTATTTTTGAGCTATAAATTATTCCAGACGATAGAAGAAGTACACAGGTCTGTGTGAAGTTTACTGGCTGTGACCTTCAGCCACATCTAAATAAAAGTTCAGGTTTACCGACAGTTTCCCACCCCCCTTCATGTCTCCGAAAGGATATGGGGGGGGGGCGCGATATTTACTGGGTGGTTCTCTGAAAATCCTAAAAGAGTAACTTAATGCTTAAATCAACTGCTCTTTTGTGCTTCCTCCCAATTATCAATACCTCTTTTAGAGTAACTTCTCATGGGAAGCATGTCAACTTCAATATTAATGTACATCTTAAAGACTAATTATTTTGCCTGGAAATTTGACAAACACTTGAGATGGGGATATGGAACATGGGAGTGGCCACATTGCTGGAATTAATTTGGCAGGAGATAGATGTGTGCATACATTTTAATAGAAATGCCCCCCCCATGTGTGTTTGTAAGCTTGCAGCACTACTTGTAGCAATTGCTTGAATTATGGATGATTATTCCTGTGTGTGTAAAGTTTGTTTGTAGACCTTATTGAAGTCTTGCTTTTGATGTAGATTTAAATGAGGATGGCCAACATCTCTTGGAGTTCTGATGGTTTTCTGTTGTACTCTGGCGGGCCACAAACCAGCTTCTTAGTGGACTGGTAGAGTCCTGGGAGTGAATTCACAAGATTCATCATGCCACCTTGATCCTAAATCAGCTACTTTCAGGTTTTCTATGCAACTCTTCCCTATCCGTTTCTGCCAGAAACTATCTAAATGTTGCTGAATCTTCAGACCGGTCAGATACGCAGTCAGTTCATGGAGCATGGAATTGCCCTCCGTGAATCCGAGAGGACCCTAGAAGAACATCCATGCTGTCCTGTGCCTCCATGCTACAAGTGGGGATTGTGGATAGGATGGGAAGCTGCCATTACAGATTTTTTAAAGGAACCCCCTAGTGAGATTCTGTGAAGCTACAGTGAATTTCAGGCTGTTTTCTGGAGATACGTCATCTGGATCAGCATAGCTTAAGCAGTTCCAATCTTTGTCTTGCTTATTTAATGAAACAAAAAACCCCTCGCTTGTTACATGACAAATATTGTACCTTCTCCCTTCCTCTCCCATATCCCTTTCTGATTAATTTGTTTGTGATGAAGGGCATGGCATGGCGTTTGCATTGGGACTGTTTTGATTCAGATTGAAAGCAAAAAACAAATTGACCTGAATCTGGGGGTGCTTGCTTGAAGCGGAATTGGTTTTGTGGGTGGGAATCAGCCTTTTTGAATCCAGATGTGTGACGAGCAGCCGTACCAGATGCGTTTGCAACACTATTGAGGATTACCACACATACACGTTTGGATGTGTGCAAAACAGGGTACAAATCGTAACGGATTCGCTAGAGTTGCTTGGACCTAAGAATCTACTTATGTTTTTCTCCTTTGCAAACAGGAAGAGGAGACATCCAGCCTCAACTGGACAGCGCGTTACAAGATGTGAATGACAAGTACCTCCTCCTTGAAGAAACAGAGAAACAGGCTGTTAGGAAGGCCCTAATTGAAGAACGCGGCCGGTTCTGTTCGTTCATTTCTATGCTGCGGCCTGTCATTGTGAGTTTCATTTCAAAGCCTTCTGTGTTGTGTGCCTGCGTGAAAATGAGCCAGCGTAGAGTGTGGTGTGCTTGTCAGCATAGTGAGTTTAATCCACACCCTCTGTGATTCAAGGTTGGAGTGAAATGAGATGAATCCAAGATGTGGTTGAACAACAGGGAGAAACGCCAGTTAAACAGCCAAAAAAGTTTTTCCTAAGAACTGGTATAACGTAACTGTTAAAGAGTATGAATCATGAGCCAAAGAAAAGCCTGCCTCCTTGGGAATGAAGCATATTAATTAATTAAAACATTTATATTTTGCCTTTTCCTTGTAATTCAAGGTGGCTTACAAATAATAGATAAGAACATTTTCAGTTAAAACTAAAATAAAACAGCAAACCCCAAATCTGTCCCCACTCCCCCAGGCAAGCTTCTTTAAGATTCAGGCCATGTTCCTATATCAGTCTAAGTTTGGACAGTAAGCTACACCCGTGATTCCCAACCTGGGGGCTGGGGACTTTTGGGGGCCACAGATTAATTGCAAGGGGTTCGTGAATCCATATGTTCGGCAGTTCAAGACCCAAGTGCCGTGTGACAGAGTGAGCTCCCGGCTCTCGTCCCAGCTCCTGCCACCCTAGCAGTTTGAAAGCAAGAAATTACAAGTAGGTAAATAGGTACCCCTTCAGTGGGAAGGTAACAGCATTCCGTGCACCTTGGCGTTTAGTCATGCCGGCCACATGACCCCGGAAACATCTTTGGACAGAACTGGCTCTTCGGCTTGGAAACAGAGATGAGCACTGCCCCCCGGATTCGACTGACTTTTAAGCACGGGAAACCTTTACCTTTACTATTCTCTCAATCAACAGATTCTAATAGTACAACTACTATCACGTGGGAAGTCCATGGAAATCTTTTCACATTAAAAAAGGGTCCTCCTACTGCAAAAGGCTGAGAATGACTGAATGGCACCATTTTAGCTCCTTTGCATCTCCTCTTTCTTTGGGAGTGACATGGAAACATGATTTACTAGTATAGATCACCCAGCCTGACTTAATCTTGTAGCCCATCATTAGTATCTAATTCTTTTCAGCATTGATAAGTTGTGCCTAAATAAAATATAGTACTATTTATGTCAGGAGCTGCGGTGGCTCAAGTGGTTAAGACGCTGAACTGCAGGCTGTGGAAGATCAGTAGTTCAGCAGTTCGAGACCCGAGTGTGCCACATGACGGAGTGAGCTCCCGTCTCTAGTTCCAGCTCCTGCCAACCTAGCAGTTCAAAAGCAAGAAATTGCAAGTAGATAAATAGGTACCGCTTCATTGGGAAGGTAACAGCGTTCCGTGCGCCTTGGTGCTTAGTCATGCCGGCCACATGCCCACGGAAATGTCTTCGGACAGCGCTGGCTCTTCAGCTTTGAAACGGAGATGAGCACCGCAACCCTAGAGTCGGATTCGACTGGCTTTCGAGCAAGGGAACCTTTACCTTTACTATTTATGTCTATTCCTGGTAGACCCCAGTAAAATAGACACGTTGGCTAAAACTGTCCGAGTATGAAGTCAAAGCCAATAAAATGGACTGTACTGATTGAGAGGGAGGGCAGGAAGGGATGACCCCGTGCTCAGCTCTCGTGGCCCTTCCTTACATGCCCAGGGTAATGCTGGTCACCACTTTGAGGCCAGGAAGGGGTTTTCCTCTAGGCCAGGTTGGCCTGGGATCCTGGAGGTTTCTTGCCCTCCTGAAGCTCAACTACTTTGGCCACCCAATGAGAAGGGAGCACTCACTGGAGAAGACCCTGATTCTGGGAAAGATTGAAGGTCAAAGAAGACAGGGATGGCAAAGGATGAGATGGTTAGACAGTGTCATAGATGCAACGAACATGAAGTTGAGCAAACTCCGGAGCACGACGTAAGACAGGAGGGCCTGGCGTGATCTGGTCCATGGGGTTGCGAAAAGTTGGACTTAACTGTGCGAATGCACAACAACAACAACAGGGTATGGAGCAGGGTGTGAATTTACTGTGTTGTACAGGGGGTTGCACTAAATGACCCTTGAGGTCCCTTCCAGCTCTGTGTTCCTGTGTTTCCAATTTACTGAGTGTTAAAAAAAAAATCTTCCAGGAAGAAGAAATATCAATGCTGGGAGAAATAACCCATCTACAGACCATATCAGAAGATCTGAAAAGCCTCACCATGGACCCTCACAAACTTCCACCATCGAGCGAGCAGGTTTGTTCAGCTGAGTTAAGGAGGCCAGTTTCTTGGCATTCATTGTGACTGCTAGGCCCCTGAGCGGTAGAAATGCATGAGCTTAGGTTGCAGTCCACTGGGAAGTCCCGCACAAGCCCTGCAGAAATGAATGGCAACTGTACCAAGAGCGTGGTAGAGTCGTTGATCAGCTGCTGTTCATTTGAGTTGGGATTGTGCGAGAAAACCTCCTGGTGGGTGGGACCGCTAACCTTCATCTCTGCTGTACTTGGATTTTGGCAGACAGCACTGGGATATTACTGGCAAGATTTCAGGTGTGTTTGGAAAAGGTTTTGAAGGTCTTTCATAAGGAGGCACCTGGGGAAGCTGACCCTCAGTTTAAACTGCCCTCAGGCCGATCTGGAGAGGCAGGCAGGCTGGGGAGGGGGTGGGCAATTGGCAGGAGATTCTGCAGGTTTTGGGGGCGGGTTGGTCATCTCCGGGGTGTGGAACAGCATTCATTGGGTGTCAGGGGGGGTGGTATTTGTGAATTTCCTGCATTGTGCAGAAGGTTGGACTAGATGACCCTGGAGGTCCCTTCCAACTCTGTGATTCTATGATTCTAAGGTAGCATACTGTATTCAGCTACGCACTGATGTCCCATGTATTTCAGTTGGCCATGTGTTCACAATTCTGTCTTAATACTGTTTTAACCAGTGACACGTGAATCAGATTTTTGTGTCTGTGAATATCTTCGCATTTTTCAAACTTGTGGCAAACCTTCAGTGGCCACAATGCACGTTACCTGCCTCCTTGGTACCTTTACACTTAAAACGTTCTCAAATGACTCATTCCAGACTGAAAGACAGTGATTATTTGTGAGCGTACCCTTAAGTTTGTAACACTAGGAATAAGCGGCTTGGATCCAGGAGAACAGGGATCCCAAACATAGTGCCCACGGATGCCGTAGCCCCCACTGACACTTTTCTGGGTGCCCTCCAGCTGTTCCTAGAAAATGGGCAGGGCCACATGGGGCTTTTGCCCATCAGGGCTTCTGATCAGCCATTGGCGATTTGATTGGCTGTGCAGATATTTAAAAACATTGGTTTGGCTGCAGCTTCCACCCGTAGCACAAGAATCTTCACCAGGTGAATGAAGGTAAGCCGCAGCAGCCATTTTGGGGCTGGCTCTGCCTCCCTGTGTCAGCCATTTTGGGGCTGCAACCAGTGTTCCCTCTAAGCTGAGTTAGTGTGAGCTAGCTCACAGTTTTTTAGCCTCTGGCTCACACATCACCCTGCCAACAAAAGTCCACATGGTCAAAGCAATGGTATTCCCAGTAGTCATGTATGGCTGCGAGAGTTGGACTGTAAGGAAGGCCGAGCGCCGAAGAATAGATTCTTTTGAACTATGGTGCTGGAGAAGACTCTTGAGTGTCCCTTGGACTGCAAGAAGATCAAATCAGTCAGTCCTAAAAGAAATCTACCCTGACTGTTCCCTGGAAGGCCAGATAATGAAACTGAAGCTCAAAGACTTTGGCCACCAAATGAGAAGGGAGCATTCACTGGAGAAGACCCTGATGCTGGGAAAGATTGAAGGTCAAAGAAGACGGGGGCGGCAAAGGATGAGATGGTTAGACAGTGTCATAGAAACATGAAATTGAGCCAACTTCAGAGGACGGCGGAAAACAGGAGGGCCTGGTGAGATCTTGTCCATGGGGTCGCGAAGGGTCGGACTCGACTGTGCGACTGAACAACAACAAACACACATTTTTGTCTTAGCTCAGTAAGGATGGCTCCAGAGCAAACTAATTTATGCAGCAGCCAAATGGCTCGCTCACATCTTTTATGCCAGCAGCTCACAAAGTAGAATTTTTGCTCACAAGACTCCACAGCTTAGAGGGAACATTGGCTGCAACCACCATGGTGTGTCAGAATTCCAAAAGTACCAGCAGCCTCAGAAAGTCTGGGGAGCCCTGCAGGAGAACATTTCCAGGGCTGAAAGGATTTCCACCCACAGAGCTCAGTTTTCTCTCCCGCCCCCTTTCAATGCAGCCCAGAATGCTCCTCCAAGGGACCCTCTGTTGGTAGATCGGTAGGATATGTTCAGTGGAATCTTCTATTAGCGGGAAAGTAGATGAGCTGGATAGGTGCTGCCTTCAGACCAAGTGCTGATGTATACGCTGTGCGTGGCTGTCTCTCGTCCTCCAGGTAATTCTAGATTTGAAAGGTTCTGATTATGGTTGGTCCTATCAGACTCCTCCATCTTCTCCCAGTACCACCATGTCCAGGAAATCCAGTGTCTGCAGGTAAGCACATCAGTAAAAACAGTGTATTTCTGAGCGAGCCAAATATGGATGAGATGAACTTTAGGATGAGATGAACTTTACATGCATTATTTGTTACGCTTTGAAGCCTGCTCTTCTTTTAGAAAGTTCAGAGTGACTTACATGGGTTCCCAATCATTTTTCATCCTAGCACAGTTCCGTTCCCTGCTACCCTAGCTTTAACAAGGCTACAGCACCTGGTGTGTATGGATAGGTCACTTGCTAGAAGTCTCCGTGTGCCTGTATTGTGCGTCAAAACAAAACAAAACTTGTTAACGGGCTACGCTTTCCCTCAGAGTATCTGATTATGGAAATATAACTCCTGAGTTTTGACTAAATGGCTGTAGAGGGGGCCTTAAGGAAACTCAGACTGTGAACAGAGGGGTAGTTGTGTTAGTGTGTTAGCCTGTCGCCACAGAAACAGAAGTATTATGGCACCTCTAAAAACTCTCACAACTTTTTATTCCAGCATAAGTTCTCATGGAGTAGAACTCCCACTTCTGGTGCTTGAGGTGGGTTTAAGACCGTGAAAGCTTATACTGGAGGGAAATTTGTTAATTCGTAAAATGTCCCGCGAGACTCCTGTTTGTGATGCCTGAACAGACCCCAAACCCTGCTCTTCTGTTGCTCAGAGCAGAGATGAAAGGCTTTCTCGTTGAGGAAGTCTTCGATCTTTCCCAGTGAAACCCAGATAAAACCAGGGGTAAGGAACACCCCCCAATTTAAGGTACCTGTATCAGAAGTGACAACAAGTCTGAGTTAAATCAGGTAATTTCCCAAACCTGGAAGTCTTTACTTCTTGTTCCACACCTTAGAAGACTGTGCATTAGCCTGCTCTGAGGATTCTGCTCCAAGTCGGGGAGGGGCTGTGGCTCACTGGCAGAGCATCTGCTTTGCAAGCAGAAGGTCCCAGGTTCAGTCCCCAGCATCTCTCCAATTAAATGGACCAGGCAGTAGGTGATGTGAAAGACCTCAGCCTGAGATCCTGGAGAGCCACTGCCGGTCTGAGTAGACAACACTGGCTTTGATGGACCCAAGGGTCTGATTCAGTATAAAGCAGCTTCATGTGTTTCTGATGTCTGAATGCAGGATAAAGGGAAATCTGAATCGACGATCGTTCCAGTTCCACTGTTTTGTGAACCTGAATTCCTTGTGAATATTCCTTTATATATCTATGTATATTTTTTTTAAAAGCAGCTTTAACTTGTCAATAGCCTACAGTGTTATGACTGCATCAGTTTCTCTTGCAACCTGTTTGAATGAGACTTTTTTTTTTTTTTAACTGTAAAATACAAGTGATCTTAAAACTGTTCAGCACTGTCTCGGTTGCCTTCCCTTTTGCGCAAGGGTTCCGGAACACTCGGACACCCTGTCCTGCCTCTTCCATGGAACTGTTTTCTCGCCGTCAAAAACAGTTTGGCAGCATGCCTCTCTGCGCCCCCTCCCCCCCCCCCCCCCCACACTGGCTCTCTCCTTTTCTCCAGCAAAAGGAAGACGGTCCTCCATTTTGCTTTGCCGTTTTGTAGCCTCTAATGCCCTTCCTTTGCCCTTTTCCTCTTCCTTCTTGCGTTTCTCTTAATTAAAAAGTTTGCCTTCCGATTCACATGGATTGGAGAGCCGAATTACCCCCCGCCGAAGCACTGTGAGACCACGGTGACTTTGCACTTCCCCTACATACCTAGCGGTCTGTGCATGCCTACGTATGGTATCTATAGACAGGAGATCTATAGATATTTATAGCGACAGCGGTAAGCATAGGCCTTAAATGCAGTATCCTGGAAAGTAAAGGAAAATGGCTACTCATACGTCCCTCCGGTTGGCAGCAGCATATCCATAGCAGGGTCTTCGGGGTGAAATAACCCATCTGCCTCTGATCTCGTTCCACCCTTCCCACTATACCCAGGTGCAAGAGGTTTCTGTGAGGTGTTAAAGCACTCTGCTGGGGGGGGGTGTGCATCGGGACTGCAGTGTCAATGCAGAGGTTAATCCTTGCCCTGGCACATTTTCCTGATGCAACCCCGCCCCCCGGTTGCTGTTTGCTGCAAGTTGGAGAGGAGGTGCCATGTGTAAAATGGTACATGGGAGAAAAGGGTTAAATCTAGGGTTACTCAGTACCTTGACCTTCTTTGGAATCCCTCTTTACTTTCACATGCCCACCCTCTTTACTTTCGACAGCTCACCTCTGGTTTGGTTCAGAGTGGATACTTAAAATCATGATGCAAACTTTGGTTCAGCCAAGGGAAAGGGCACGTTTCCTTATCATTAGGCTTTGCGATGGAGCGAGGGAGGAGATAGATTTAGGTGCTACGGAGGCAGATCCCACCAGTATGTTCCCTTGCGCAAACCCCATAGAAGCAGTAAGAGTGGCACAATCCCCATTTGTTGCAGTGGGGGGGCCTATGCGGGAGAACTCCTGGTGGATTGCACCCTGTGTTGATTAGCGTTCATGGAGGTGCCATCGGGAGGTTTTCCATCTTGGGTATCAAGACATCGTGAGCCAACCCTGGTAGACAAGCTAGGGCTGCTTTTCTTGTAACAACACGTTGCAGACAGTTCCTCAGCTGTTCCTGATCTACAAAAGATAATCTATTAGCCCTTTGACTATTCATTGGTAGCACACGTGGCTGCCAAAAAGCCGCCTCCCCCCAGCTGCCATGCTTGCAAGGTTGCCTGGAGGCAGTGCTGCTTCGCCATAGGCGACCGGCTATGCACTTGTTGTTTTCAAGCCAAACTTAACCTAGAATCCTAGACCCGCCCTGTATTCTTAAATGCCATTTTCCTCCTTGTCACAAAGGATACTGCAGGTACTTAAAACTCCTTCCCGTTATTGCTGCCAGTGGTTCCTTTTCTTTATAGTTTAGACTGCATGCCCTTGCCGGAGAACCATGGAATGTTAATTGTACTGTGCTGGTCTCTTCCTCAACCCCCCCCTTTTTGTTTTCTCCTCCCCCCCCCCTTGCCCCCATCTCTCTCTCTCTCTCCCTCCCTTTTGTGTCTCACAGCAGTCTGAACAGTGTTAACAGTAGTGACTCCCGGTCAAGCGGCTCACACTCTCACTCACCCAGTTCACACTATCGCTACCGCAGCTCCAACATGCCTCAGCAGGCGCCGATGAGGCTTTCCAGCGTGTCCTCGCACGACTCCGGATTCATGTCCCAGGATGCTTTTCAGTCCAAGTCGCCATCCCCGATGCCTCCGGAAGCCGCCAACCAGGTATGTCTGGAGGCCGGTTCTGTCGACAGCAGTGCCTCGTTGGCCTCCTGGGTAACGCCTCACGGAGGCGGTGCAATGGGAGAGGAGAAACGTGGTCTGTGTCCTCTCTCCGGTCCGCCTGTTGCATAATTCCTGGGCCAAACGGCAGTGGCTGTTTTTAAGGCCAGGTTCACACATGCAGGAGAATGAGATGGTAGTGAGGCAGAATGGATTTATCTAGTTCTTTTCTACCCCCGGCTTAGTGGCTTACATCGTAACCCCTCTCTTCCATTTTATCCTCACGATCTGTGAGGCAGAGAGCGTGTGACTAGCTGAAAGCCACCCAGCAGACTTCCGTGGCAGTGCAAGGATTCGAACCTTGTGTCCCAGGTTCTAGTCCGACACTCTGACCGCTACAACACACTGTATCCCACTGTGTGTATTCTGGCTTTGAATCTCCCTTCTTCTTGAAAAAAAAATCCATGAAAATTCGTTTCTTGGTGGACTGGTGTTCAGCGTGCAGCGTGTCCAGTCTAAAGGAAACGTTCCAAAATCTGACCCTCCCTCCCGCAGTACAAAGTGGTGCGGTCCATTCTTCCACCTCGGGCACTCCGCCTCCTTTCCCCTGCACGTGAGATCCAGGTTTGAACCTCTCTTCACCTATCCTGAATTGCGTCTAAGCATAATTTAGCGTTTGGCTTGCAGCTGACGAGAGGTAAACCCAGCCGTTTCCTTTCCACCCACCAGCCCAGTGCTAAAAAAGCAAAAGGGTAGTTCCAGATTTATTTATGCAGATGCTTATAACCTGCTTTTCTCCACCCAATGCGGATTCAAACAGCTTACAGGGTAAAAACTAGAAACAAAACAACGGGCCGTTGCATCAGATCCCACAGATATTTCAGCACAAGTTGCCTACTGATAACCCTAACCTGCCACCGGCGGGCTAATCCACAGGCTGGGGAGGAGGGCAGAACAGGTGGCAAGAGCCTCTGCCCTTGGCGTCAACAGTCTCTCCTTAGGCAGGCAGTTACTTGCTGCAGAGAGACAGAGAACCACGTTATGGGTGTTTAAAGAGTTGGGTCCAAGTTCCTCCGAGTCAGCTTGTGTTCCCTGCAGCCGCCTAGCAGCCGTGGGGAACTGGTTCTAATCATAAAAAGGAGAGCCCAAACAGACTTGGGTGGGGGGAGGTTATTTTGCTGATTTTGCAGCTCACCTTGGGAGAATCCCTGCGTGTGAAGGAGCAAAACAACCCCCCCCCTCCAAAATTAAACTATCTACACATGTAAAGCTAACAAGGAAAGGAAAGCTAGGCTGGAAGCTGTTGCCCGTACCTTTGCACATGGTGGAGGGATATTTTTCTGGAGGAGCTGTATTTTCCCCCTCTATGAGCATATTCATTCACGGCCAGTCTAGGCCAACACTAGACTGCATGTCCTTGGTCAATGGTCAGAGCAGTTCTGCTTTTGAAATCCTGGGTTGCAGAATCCTCAGGACCATGCTGCATCCATGTTTTTTGTTTTATGTGTACCTTTTAAGATTCTTAACAGTCACTCCAAACACGCGTGCTTGCGAAACCCACATGGGCTTGGATCCTGAGCGTTGCTTCCTCTGTGCTTTGTCCATTGTGGCAGCAATCCTGTGATACAAAAGCTCTGGCGCAAGGTGCTTTTTAGCTCATTGGAAGATGCCGGTCTGGCATGAAGAAAAGCACCCGGCACTGGAAGAATGTGGGTCATAGCAGGGGGACAGCTCTACAGAGGAAAAGGGCACAGCACAGACAGAGGCAGGGCGTAGGACCCAAGCCCTAGTGCCTACAGGTGCACTCCCCAGGGGAGCCATGCTGGACTGCACCTCTCTGTAGAACGTAACACCCAGTAGCAACCTCATAGTCTTCATAACTAAAAGAGTGCCATGGCTCAGACCATCAGGTGCGTCCCCTGTGCAGTTTCATCTTTCTTTTTTGTATGGTGGAGATCCAGGGGTCATTTCCTGCAGGAGCGCACAGGAGCGGAGCTCCGGCAGTAAAGAGCCCAGGGGGCGGGCACATGCAACAAGCCCCACCCCCTGTTCCCAGAAGCCCTCAGTCAGAGCAAGAAGCAGCCAGGTAAGCTGCAGAGCTCCCCCCGGTCCAAAACAGTCCAGTGGCACCTTTAAGACCAAGTTTTATTCAGGTACAAGCTCTCCTTCCTCTGTGAGGACAGATCTGCACGTGTCCCCCCCCCCCCCAATAGCTAGCAATCCAAAACAGGCCAGTGGAGCCTGAGCGGTGGGTGTTGCCTTCTGACACGCTTCCGGTGATGTCAGGGGGTGTGGCATATGCAAATAAGTTATGCTAATGAGTTATGCTAATGAGCTCCTGCACCTCTTTTTCTACGAAATGACCCCTGTGGAGATCTATCTGAAAATTGGCTTGCATGAAGGGGCCCAGCACACAGCTAGTGCTGCTGGCCCCCCTCCCCGTGGGAGGTGGGGGTCCCCTTCCACCAGGCCCCACTGCCCATCAGCTGGCTGGCAGGGGTGGGGGTGGAACCTACTAGGAAAAAGAGGAAGGCCCAGACCATGTAACTAGTGACATCATCCCACCAGCGACATTCAGGCGATGCGGTATCTGGGCAAAAACTCTATGGTAGAGGCCGTTTTTACCAGAGTTTTTGCTCAAATACAGAGTGTTGCAGCAATGATGACATCACTTCCTGTGCAACACTAGCAACATGGCCTGGGTCTCCCTCTTTCTTCTGGTAAGTCCCTCCCCCATTCCCCAGGAGGGACCTGGCAACGCTACACGTAGCCAACTCTGGGATCACCTTCACTGCTACGTTTTTAAAAGCTTTTTTGAAAGCACAGCAGTCGGAGGGTTGATCCATTTGGGTGTCCTCCAGTTTCCAGGTAGTCCTTGGCTGAGATGTGTGTGGAATCATTACCCAGCGGGAAAGCTGGTTATCTGAAATAACTTTATGTTGGTCGAAAACATTAATCTTTCTTGTTAACCATTGGGCTGATGAAAAGAAGTAGGCCACCGCAAGCAGATTAAAATGACATGTAGATACTTTTAGGACAGCATCCGCATGGCAGTGTGAGTGACCATTTTGCTGCTCTGGGTATTCTTTTGTTTGCTTGAATTTCTCACTACTCACAAAAAGCACTAATTGACACATGCAGTGTGTTGACAGACTTCCCCCGAAGCTGTTTAATGTGTAACACGTCCTGTGTTTTCTGTAAGCAACTGACGGGTTCTCGTCTTGGCATTGTGCTCTAAGGGCTACACGGGAAACCTGCACAATGCCTCATGTTGTGTCTGAAAGCAAAACACTGTTTCTGACAGTAATGCTGTGGACGAAAGCGACCTGCCCATTTGCTGCCCAAGCTCTTTATTATCGCTGTTGTTGGATGTGCTCTTAGTGTCCTGCTGTGTGAGTGTTGTTCTCCGTTGCTGCAGGACGAACAAATGTATTGAACAGCTGACGCATCTCTTTGTGCCGTGGAATTGCAGGAGATGAGATAGAAAAGGAAGGCGTTTGGGTTAGTCCAGGTTGATCTTGCCCCTATATCATAAGAGCATAAGAGAAGCCCTGTTGAATCAGGCCAGTGGCCCATCCAGTCCAACACTCTGGGTCACACAGTGGCCAAAATTCAAGTGCCATCAGGAGGTCCACCAGCAGGGCGAGAACTCAAGAAGCCCTCATAAGAACATAAAAGATGCCAATGTTGGATCAGGCCAAAGGCCCATCCAGTCCAACACTCTGTATCACACAGTGGCCAGAAATACCAGTGCCATCAGGAGGTCCACCAGTGGGGCCAGGACATTAGAAGCCCTCCCACTGTTGCCCCCCCAAGCACCAAGAATACAGAGCACCACTGCTCCAAGCATAGTGTTCCATCTATACCTTGTGGCTAATAGCCACTGATGGGCCTCCACTTCATGTCATTGACCAGTTTGGAGGTGTCAGCTGACAAAGGAATCTTCGTGGAAGGGGGTCATTGGCCTATCTTTATGCAAGGTCAGTGTTTATTGGCTTCCTCCATACCCTACCATGTAGGCTGCATAGGCAGGGAAGCATTGGGTTGGTCCCTGAGATCCATCACACCCAGGACATGTAGTGTGAACCAAAGCCCTCGGATGGTAGACCCTTACATAACAAGACCTTGCTACTGCAGTCTGTCTACCCCTTCTTCTGTAGTGTACAGATCGTGAATCAAACGAGAGTCTGTGCAGAGTGGGATGGAGCGAAACCTCACTGCACAGCCAGCCTACCCACTGGGGTACAGCTTGAATCAAATCTCTGCCATTAAGAAAAAATACAGGCTGCAATCCAGAGATGCTTGACTAACCCTGAACCAGCATTGAAACCTGCCCTCGAGCTCTTCCGGCCATGCAAGAGAGCAGAGGGGGCAACTTCACCCTGCAACATCTTAGGTCTGTTAACCCTCTGCGCAAAAAAGATATGGAACAAAGTTTGAGTCCAGTGGCACCTTTAAGACCGACAAAGTTTTATTCTGGGTATGAGCTTTCGTGTGCATGCACAATGTGCATGCACATGAAAGCTTATACCCAGAATAAAACTTTGTCGGTCTTAAAGGTGCCACTGGACTCAAACTTTGTTCTGCTGCTTCAGACCAAGATGGCTGCCCACGTGAATCTTATCTTCATGGAAGGCACCACGTAAAAAAGAGAAAGAATCCAGATTCCTGGCCTGACAAGCCTGACTTCTGCACCGCAAAGGAATTACACAAACCAGGATAACT